CATTGGGTACTTTATCATAAACAGAAATTTTGCCATAGACTTGCACTTCTCACATTCCCTCCCTGAAATGTAGTCTGCTTATTGCTCGTGTTTGGCCCATGCAACATTAAAGAGTAGTGATGTAATATCCGCTGGACTATGTGACTCTTTTTTGGAATCCCTCCACTGCCTCCCCCTTGCCTACTATATAAAGTTTAAACTTCTTGCCCTCACCTTCAAAGTTCTGCACAGCTGTATGTGCTGGATCCTATTTTTATCTCGTTCCCCTTTGCCCCACCAATGATGCCAGCCTCACTGCCCCCTCCATCTCACACTCCCATCTTCATGCCTTCTTCTGTGCCGTCCCTTATGTGTGGAATGGCTTCCCAAGCCAGTAGTCCAGGCCCACACCTCGTCTTCATTCAAATTACTCCCAAATCTCACTTCTTCTGTGGGCAGGCCAACACTGCAGAGGGGATCGACACTCTGAGATCGATCCACCAGCAGTCAATTTAGCGGGTCTAGTAAAGACCCACCAAATCAACAGCAGATCGCTCTCCAGTTGACCCCTGTACTCTACCCCCATTAGAAGAGTAAGGTAAGTCAACGGGAGCTTTTCTCCCATCTACCCCTCACAATGTAGACCCCACAGTAACTCAACCTAAGGTACATCGACTCCAGCTACATTATTCACGTAGCTAGAGTTGCGTAGCATAGGTCGACTTACCGTGGTAGTGTAGACATAGCCTGTGAGGCACAAATGTTATCCCACATCAGTCAAATGCCCTCTCATTCTATTGTATTTAATGCAACATTATATTATATAACTGGGCAAGGGAGAATGAGGATGAGGAGGAGTTAATGTTTAAAATTAACCCATGCCTCTGGTCCCACAGCTTGCTTTATCTTTTCTGTGTCAGTCTTTTAGTCTGTATGCTCCTTGCGTAGGAGCTATTTTTGTGACTTCCCCATGACTAGTATAAAACTTGATACAGGAAGCAAGAGGGAGTCAGAGGAGGGATTCCAAAGTACGGTGACATGGTTGAACTCATTTTATATCATTACTCCTTAAGGTTGCAAGTGAAAAACACAAGCAGTGATGCTCTACGGGTTAGGACTTGCAACCTGAAAGTGACAACCTCAATATCCATTACTATCCCCCTGAAATCCAATACCAAACTACAATACAAGGCAAAGAAGGTTAACCTTGAGTTTCACATAGCCTAGCACAATAGTGCTCTGATCTTGCTTGGTGTCTCTAGGGTCTGCTACTTACATAAAATTAATAATTTCAACTATCCTGTTTTTTTCAACCACATCTAGAAAAACAATGTCTCCTATAACTTTTTGCCCGCTTTCTTTGCTTTTGGATAACAGACGTTTGGCAGAACAGAGATGAGCGATGGAATTTCCCCCAGGAGTATGACCCAGAATTGATCAAAGAGAAGAAGCGGAAAGAAGTGGAGGAGGAGATCAGAGTGCAGGTGTGCTTACAATAATAACAGGATATTTATAAGAATGGTTCTTGCCGACATAGGTTTCTCTATGGTGGTAAGAACTGGCCCTGGCATCTAGACCTTGCCTCCATTCGGAGCTGCCCTATCCATGCTTTTCCTTAAACGTTTGGCTGAATATTTGTGTGCAGAGTGATTTTGGGTGTATGGCTACAGCATGGAAAAACTAAGAAAAAAATTCAACCCTGTGCCTGTCTGAATAGGTTGATGAGCTGATGCGACAGGAACTGAAGAATCTGAAACTGGCAGTGGACAGAGAGAAGGAGAAAAAACCGAAAAAGGGGAAAAAAGGTGGAAAGAAGGTGAGTGCAGCAAGGAATGGAAAGCCAGCATGCATCACAATTCTCTACCCCTAAATACCAAGGAAGAAATCCTACCCCCATTAAAGTCAATAGCGAAACTCCCTCTGTGAGTGTTTGGTGAATCTTAGGTCACAAGAGGTCAAAACCACCTCATGTGTAAGCGGATTTCTTAAGCGGTTTTGTTTTGTTTTGTGTTCTTTGTAGTTTTTTTAGATTTCAGTGTTGACCAACCCTTAGACTTTTTATTTTAATTTATGTTTTAGGGCCAGGCAAACCATTCTGAGGGAACAACCCCACAATATTGATCTGATTTTCAAGAGTACTCTGAAACCACAGCTCCAGCTGAAGCCAACGGAAGTGGAGGGTGCTCTGCACTTTTGAAAATCGGACCATATATTCTGAGCCTGCTTGATCCAGATTAATATGATGGTCTTGTAATTAAGGCATGGGACTGGGAGCTAGTAGATTTTCCATGGACTGAGTATCCTCCATTCAAAAAGCAGGTCCCTTTAAGTTGTCTCCAAAGGGACACCCAAAAACCAAGACAACCAAAATCACTAGTCACTTTTGAAAATCTTGGTCTAATCATTCAAGTATCTGAACTGACTGACACACAAATGTGTGCATTTTGGTAAATATTATTTAAATGTATTCTGCTCACCACTGAAGAATTTAATGCAATTAAACCACATTTATTTAGGAAAAGGAAATAAGTTAGCGGCATAAATTACTTTAGTGTATTTGACCCATTAAAACGCAGCCAATATAGCAGTGCTGGAGTCCTAAAAAAAAGAAGTGCTGGAATGCAGGGCAGTGGGAGGCCCCAGGAGGGAGCAGAGGGAGCTAGGAGGAAGGCAATGGGGGGAGCTGGGAGAGGTCCAGGTCCAGTGGAGTATGAGACTGATTCCCTGCAGTTGTCCTGCCCCCACCTCTCCTAGCTCTGCCTGACTCCTGCTCCTAGGGTGACCAGATGTCCTGATTTTATAGGGACAGTCCCAATTTTGGGGTATTTTTCTTATATAGGCTCCTATTACCCCCCCGCCCCCTGTTCCGATTTTTCACACTTGCTGTCTGGTCACCCTACCTGCTCCCCATGGGGGGTTCTGCTGTCTGGGCGGCCCTGATACTCGGCTCCCGACATCTCCCACCTCACTTCTATGCTCCTTTGCCCACTCCTGGCTGTAGTGTCCCCAGCTCCTTCCGCTGACCCACTGTCCAGCACCCCGTTTGGGCCTGCCAATGGCACCTGATGGCCTGTCATGCTGCAGCTGAGTAGGGAAAGGTGCTGCCTGGCCCAGACCCATGGGAAGTGCCAGAACACCATTCCAGCTCCTAAAAAAGTACCAGAACAGCATTCTGAAGTGTTCTAGCACAACTTGAGTGCTGACATACACTGTTTACATCTAGTTTCACAGCATTACAGCGTGCAGAGAACTCCACACCTGCATGCTCCTTTGAATTGAATGTGCACTTTTATTTTACCCAAGGATTTAAATTCCAAACATTTGTACAGCAGGCATTCGGCATTTCCAGATGGAATCAGCATTTCAATTTAAAACGCTAAAGGCAAATAGCAAACCCTAAGCTTGTGCTGACGTTTCACTCTTGGAATTGTTTGTGCATGCCAATACCTTCATCCGCAGTACTTCTAGTTAGATCTCAGCCCTTTTAGAAATTTAGAATGCTCTTTGCACCTGACCAAAAAAATGACAAGGGCAATTTAATAAAGCTAGGTTGAGGCATCTTTGAAAATTGATATATGAATACAATATGGACCCAATTCAAACAATGTCAGGGTAATTTTGAAGCGAAGGAAGGCAATGCACAAAAATGCATGTGCAGTTACAGTGACTCAGCACACAAAATGGATAGTTGCATGGACACCTCAGTTCTCATTTGTGTACACAATATCCCCCAGGTCATACACACTCAGTCACGGTAGTGAGGCATATGGACCTTAGACTGCGTTTTTGAGAATTTGGATTTGTAATGGGCATAGTGTAGACTAGGAGCAGTTAGGAAGCAGCTTGCCAACTCGCTGATGAAGAGTACTTAATTATTCAATAGTAACCCTCTGTTTGATCAAGGGCCAGTGTTGGCAGACCCATCCAGTCCTTTCCCTAGAGGAGCCAGGGCCTCTGAAGCAGGTGATACAAACTAGGAAATGTTAGTAGATTTCACGGTGCCAGTGAAGACTAAGTGATGCCAGATGTAAAACAAATTTTTTCAGGGGGTTAACCTGCCTTGCAAACAGCATTCCCAAGACAACTATTACAGAGACAGACCCTTGTTTCTATGTCCAGTTACCAGTGGGAAGTTGGCAGTGAGTATAATGTCTGTCAAGCAGAATACTGAAAAGCAGAGTTCATGTTCTTTTGTCGGGGCATGCTCCATTTTCGTCAGGCCATATTTCTTGAGAATCCTTACTGCAGCTTTTAGAAAGATTTTTTTTCTATTTGCTTTGCAACTACCATTCACAGCAAGCCCACAGACCTTAGAGCTATTCCTCTTTGGCCCTAGGGAATAGACACTAGGAACTGATGTGCAGGTCAAAAGCACCATTGCAGTCTGTAGTAGCACATTAGAATAAGTAGTCACAAGTAAAAAAAAATGCTAAGAATTAGAAAAAGGAAATCTCTCAATCCATCAGGAAACAGTACTGACATACGTCCTTCCCAGAATTCCCTTTTCATGTGCTGAGATGTGTAAGCACCATTGAGATTGAACTCTTGGGAAGGCCATTGTAAGGAAACGGACTGTTTCTCACTGTAAAACTGTTTAGCTGAATATATATATTTTTCCCATTACAGCAAAGGTGCCCTTAAACATGACCTTGGATTTTAAAAGTTTGATTCTTTCAGCCATCCCATTAAAATCCAGAAGGAAGCTGTTAGCCCTCCTAGTTCACACAGTTTACCTCCAAGCAGAGCCTTGCCTTTGATTTCAGGACTTTTAAATACCATTTAGCATTCTAAGAGAAAAATCAGCAAAAATCACTTACATTCCCCCAGAAGATAACAGGCTATTTTATCCCATCAGTGGAGTTACACCAGGGTTTCATTTGGCCCCGTAGTTTTAGAAGGATCCTAAATATTCACTTGCTGCCTCACACCCAAAGGGCAGGCAGATTAGATTTTGGAATATTAGCCATTAGGCTGTGATGAAAATACATCAGTCAGCCAGGCATGATGGGTAAGAAGCCAAATCACTTCTTATTCTGGGCCAGACCCAGATACCCTTACTCAGGCTAAACAGCACCTTACTCCATAAGCAGTCCCATGAAAGTATTTTATTACTGTTCAATATTTATACTAAAGTAATATCCAAAAGCTCTCATCAGGATTGAGGGCCCCGTTGTGCTGGGTGCTGTACAAACACCGAAGAGAGATCGTTCCTGGGCCCCTGAAGCTAGACACACCAACAAGCAGAGGGTAGGGATGAGAATGCAACATTCACGCAAATGAATCTTTTGAAGAATTGATCCAGCTTGGTAGTTAAATGGATTGAGGGTTTTAGAGGTGGAAAAGAGGCATAGTCGCTCCTTGTCACCTGTGCAGCCATGATGAGCAGACTAGCTTTGTAAGCAGCAGGGCAGAGGTGAGTTTTAAGGATGGAGTTAAAGGAAGATACTGGCTGGAATTTGCCCCATGCATACAGGGCAGCATGGGAAAAGCCGTGGAGATGTTTGAGAGAAAAGCTGACTGGTGGATGGTGCAGGCTGGGAATGCTGGTAGAGAGAAGGCAAGAGTCATTATTAGGATTCTAATAGCCCCACCCTATGTAGCTGCCCTAGTAATCTGACGACCTTAACAAGGGGTAAAATTTTCAGAAGCACCAAAGTGACTTATTGAAAATCCATGCTAAATAGACTTGAGGTGTGCCAGTCCAGCCCAGGAAAGAGGAGGTTGCAGTAATAACGAGGGCTTTGGCTGCATGGGCAGAAAAGAAAAGCAGGATTTTAGAGATACTGTGTAAGAAAAAGTGGCAAGACTTAGAAATTGCTTAGTAGTCATTGGGACTACCATGGAAGAAGGCGCTATTCAATGCGAATAAGGGCCTCAGAATCTGGCCCTCTACACCAACATAGCGCACTTGCTGCTACACAAGTCCTGGCTTTGCCTTCTCCCCTTGGTTTTCTTATTTCATGGACATTTATGCCTCGCAAGTCATGTTCTCTAGGTACTGTTAGTCCATTCTTACCACTATTGTAAACATTTGTCACAAATTAATTGAGCAAAGATCGGGAAAAATGAGCAAGAAACTACTGTAAACTTTGAGGAAAGAAAATGGCTCAGATTGTGTGTGCATGTGTTACTTGTATCATAGTTCTAATATAAAAGGGTTTCATAATTGATCTCTGACATAACACATTGGGTGGCACCACAGTAGCATTAGCCAGAAAGACAGGAGAGGCATCTAAGGGCTTGTCTACATTGCCTTGCAGTTCAGACTATAGGGGCGTGAACAGCAGTGCACACCAAAGTGCTTCACTGTAACTGCCCAGTGTTGTCATCATGGGCATGAACTAAAAGGTTCATAGTTCCCATTAATGTAATCCTCCTTCAGACAGGACTACATCATACAAACTAGGAACCTTTCAGTTCGCACTGGCAGCATCTACACAAGGGAGTTACAGCACTTTGGGGTGCAGCCCTGTAGTCTGAACTGCGGGGCAGTGTAGAGATAGCCTTAGGATACTCAGTGCTTAGGTACATTGCTGTGAAGATACAGTTCCCTGCACTGCTTACGGAAATGTGCAGTAGCACAAGGCCATTGCTGTATGACTTGCAATCTGTAGAAGAGATACATTAGCTGCTGTGATTAGTTTCAGAATCTGCTATCATTTTTAAAAAGTTGCCTTCTTCTCTAATGTCCCCTGAGAGTTAGTGTAATATGACATGGTACAAATACGACGGTGAGCATGCTCCCATGCTGCCCTCCATGAGAAGAAGAAGCTTCTTCACCTGCCATCTAGGGTCCAGTTGCAGTCCATGAAACACTTGCAAATGGTTGAGAGAGAGCTGGTTACATGGTGATGCTCCCCTCTTTTCCAAGCCCTGAACTGCACTTAAAAGAGAGCTAAAAAATATGCATGAAGTACTTTCTCCATACTACTTGTCCACATAAGCAATTGATGTACCTGCCACAGGTACGTTGTACAATTGCAAATGAAGGGGAAGTGGTCAATGCAATTTTGACTTGGAGGGAAAGTGTCTACAAGACACTCTATTAAGATCTGCTCCACCTTGTGCTCTAGAATCCTGCTGCAAACTGATTCTGTATATGCTTACAGCAACACCTGAACTGCTCAAAACCCGTTTAGTGATCACACATTAAAGAGACAAAACCCTGTGCACACCCCACTTAGGAATGGAGATGAGGCACCATTAGATCAGCCAGAACTAAATGCAGTTTTATTACACAGTAGAGGATATGCAAGAAAGTGGGAAATAATCATGAATAAATGGGACACCTATAAAGTGGTTAGGGGATGGAATAGACTGACACATTTAAAAGGTAAAATCAAATAGGTTTTCATAAGTGATTAACCTGTTTGCATTTGCTATATAGGAAAAGCAGCTGTCAGTAAGGTATATTTTGTAGGAAAGCCACAGTCTAAAATTCACATTTCCTCTTATCTCAGTGCTTGCCAAATTTCCCAGAAACACTGATGTCAATTAGGAAAACACATTTTTTTCCATATAACAATTTTTTTTTAAGTTTTTGAGTTCGTTTACTGGTGAAAACGCCCTGAAGAAATTACCAGTTGGCCAATAAATTCAGCATATGTTCAGTGTCTTTATAAAGAAAAAATCATCTTGTCTTCCCAATAAATCCCCATGATGTTATAATTTCTTCCAACTTCCTAAAAAATATAAAGAAACAATGCTAGAGAAGCACTGGCAATAACTTGCTAGAGCTGAGGTGGGCAAACTATGGCCCGTGGGCCACATCCGGCCCGCAGGACCATCCTTCCCGGCCCTTGAGCTCTTGGCTGGGGAGGCTAGCCCCTGGCCCCTCCCCTGCTGTCCCCCTGCCCCCGCAGCCTCAGCTTGCTGTGCCAGCGCTCTGGGCGGCGGGGCTGTGAGCTCCTGCCGGGCAGCGCGGCTGCGAGAGCCGCCGGCCTGCCCCGGTGCTCTAGACTGCGCGACGGCATGGCTGGCTCCAGCCGGGCGGCGCGGCTGCCAGTCCTGGTGCTCTGAGCGGCATGGTAAGGGGGCAGGGAGCAGGGGGGTTGGATAAGGGGCAGAAGGTTCTGGGGGGCAGTCAGCAGACAGGGAGCGGTTGGATAGGCGTGGGAGTCCCAGGGGGCAGGGGTGTGGATAGGGATCTGGGCAGTCATAGGACAGGGAGCAGGGGGTGTTGGATAGGGGGTGGGGTCCCAGAGGGGGCAGTTAAGGGCGGGGGGGGCAGGAGGGAGCAGTCAGGGGACAAGGAGCAGGGGAGTTGGATGGGTCAGGGGTTTTGAGGGGGGTAGTCAGGGGGCGGGAAGTGGGAGGGGGCAGATAGGGGACGGGGGCTAGGCTGTTTGGGGAGGCACAGCCTTCCCTACCCAGCCCTCCATACAGTTTCGGAACCCCGATGTGGCCCTCAGGCCAAAAAGTGTGCCCACCCCTGCACTAGAGCCAGTATCTCTGCAATCTCCCAATTGCTACTATAGTGTGAAACATACTTTTCTGACGCCATCACTAAAGATGTTTGTTTAACGTAGAACATGTTCCTTGTCCTATAAACCACCCCACACTGCTCGGACTATTTACATAAAGAAGTCTGTGGTATAGTTCTGCATATTCGGACATGTTTGTATTATTCTAATACAGGTCCATTAAAAATATTAGCTTTCTCCAATTGTCTCTTATCTATATAGCTCTGGGTTTGTCTAGATTATTTACATTGTATTATGAACAGCAACAGATGATATAAGCAGTAGATTGTCTAAAGTATGATCCAGTCTTTGGAAAGTTATAATTGATTCATTTCTAATCATTGCTGATTTACCCCGGGAACAATAGCATTTTCCAGATAGGATTTTTTTTTAAATGTGCAACCCCTCGAGCACTGCATAAGGGTTTGTGAATAATTCAATAAAATAATAAATAAATGCATGAGTAGGAGGTTATAAAGTCTCTTCTTCCCAAGGGTTGAGGAAACTAATCGTTTAAGCTCATGCCTGGCTTTAAATGTGTGGAGTCGTCTCATTGACCTCAACATGACTAATCACATTAGCTCATGGTTAAGTGCTTTGCTGGACTGGGCCTACTACACCAAGCTCTAACTCCACTGTGTGTTACACACATGGATTAACCAAGCGCTGTCCTTAGTTAATTGTTGTGTTGAAATCCATAAGTATATTTGTGTCTAGTGACTTCTAATGACTATGGAGAGTGCTAGCATATGTGATTCCCACACTTGTGTTTATTTGTTTTCCATGGGGTTTTGCAATGTGTGAGGAAGCCATTTGCACAATATGTAGCCTTCTCATAATGCTTCAGTTACTGTGCAGAAAATCCCAAGAGAAGACCTGCTCTAGTTATCCTGACCTCATGCTACTTCTTCCCTGAGGCATTACAAAGGGTAGGTCTACACTTACCTCCGGGTCCGGCGGTAAGCAATTGATCTTCTGGGATTGATCCCGGAAGTGCTCGCTGTCGACGCCGGTACTCCAGCTCGGCGAGAGGAGTACACGGCATCGACGGGGGAGCCCGCCTGCCGCGTCTGGACCTGCGGTAAGTTCGAACTAAGGTACTTCAAATTCAGCTACGTTATTAACGTAGCTGAATTTGCGTACCATAGTTCGAAGTGGGGGGTTAGTGTGGACCAGGCCATAGAGTAGGTAGGAAGGAGATTAATGGTTAGGGCACTAATCTGGGACTCAGGAGACTTGGATTCAATCCCTGGCTCAGCCACAGCCATTCTCTGGGACCTTAGGCAAGTCACTTAGTCTCCCTTGTGCCTCAGTTTCTCATCTGTAAATGGGAATAGTAATTCCCTATCTCACAGAGTGCTGCAAAGATACAATCTATTCCTCAGGTACTACAGTGGTGAGGACCACATAGAAGTACATAGATAGTGGAAAATACAAATGCTGAAATATTTAGGTTTATTAAAGTTGGATCAGCAAGTTTTGGCCTTCATCTCAGTTCCAATAGCATTCTGCTACTTATGTCATTAATTGCTGTCTACATTTATGGTCCTCAGAAAAAGAAAAAAGGGAAGAAAAGTGGGAAGAAGAAAAAGGAGAAAGATTTGACTCCCGACAGGTAAAGAATGCACCTGTTCACTCTAAGAGTTACATAACGATGAAATTATGTATCCTTTATATTTGCCACACTGCCAACCCCTTTTCGTTTTGTTTAATTACAAAAGGACAGTGTCAGAACTGGTAGGTTTACATTTCAACCTACCCGTGCCAGCAGGTAGGAACTGGGGAACCCTATAATAAAAAGAACCATTTTAATAACCGCTATAAATATCCACAGATGTCTAGAAAATAAAACAAACCCATCATGAATTTGCAAAATGTTCATTTTAGTCTCTGAAATATTTCAAAGAAAAATCCATTTCTGTGTTGTCAGTAAATGCCACATTGCCTCTTGACTGATAGGTTTGTCGTGCTACCCATTACAAGACAAATACTGCTTTGATGGTATACATTGTACAATAATGACCTGTGTGTGTTTCCCTTTAATTGTACTGTTTTCAGTAGTTTGTACAAGCCAAGGCCCTGATCCTGTAAAGACTTATACATATACTTCAACAGCCAGACTTCATTGACACCAATAGGACTACTCAGTGCATAAACAGCATGCGTGTAAGTCTTTGCAGGCTCTTGGGCCCAATTCTTTAATGAAGACCCTTTTACTTTTATTCCCCCAGCCCCTCACCAGCAGGTGCAGGAACACCTGGCAGTCTCAGATGTCTACAGATTTTCCATCCAATTTAAAGTCCCTGAGAAGAGAGGCTGTAGCCAGCTCTAGTGAAATACCACAATAAAGCAGCCTTTGTTTCTCATGTAAAAAGTACATGTCATAGATCAGTCGTATTTCTTGTCTGACCAACATAAATTCTTGAGGGCACCTTACAATTTGTTAAATATTTCTGTTCTGAGGAGAGAGTTTATTTTACTTGAGGGGTTCGAGCGAATTCCATGTTTTGACACCTGAATTTTCAACATTCACATGATACATCTACTGAAAATCTGCCCATTTTTCACTTGTACGTAGAATACAAACCTATGCTGAGTTATCACAACTAGCACCAATTTATCTAGTAGCAGCGTGGAACAGGGACAGATGGCGCTCCTAGGGCAGCAGGGCGCAAGAGCACTGTAGAGACAAGTATGCTCAGCACCTGGTGGAAAGAAGTGCCTTGCATTGTGCTCCAATCCCATTCACTTGTATAGGATTTAGCACCACCCTTTGGGCACAACTGCAATACATTCAATCAAGAAGGGGGTCTTATTTTGGTTTCAAATGTAAAAATCTCTTAAGCCAAATAAGTAAGTATTGAAGAAATATTTCATGGAAGTGTATGGAAGATGACCTCTCATACCATATAACAGCTCCAGGGTCTATCAAGTAAATGCATATGCACTTTTACATATATAAACATACACTTATACAGCTGTAATGCTGATGCCTCTGGGTGGGTCAGCAGCACCAAGGATTGAATTTGGGACCTCTGGATCTTAATGCATGAGGCTCTACTGCCTGAACTAAAAGACCCAACTCTCTTAGCCAAGGCTGTAGCAAGCACAATCAACCTCTACTTGACCTACCCACCTCTAGAGGGGGACAGAGTGCCACACCAAACAGGCATGGCTTACTCAGAAAATATGTAATTATTATAATACTGTGCTATTAGTGACTATTATTTTAATACTATATTATACGTTTTGTAGTAGCTAGCTTGTTGTGGTAGTTTCTTTGGCCTTTAAGTTTCACACCTTGCTCCTGCCTGCTGTTCAGGAGAAGGGGTAACGTTTCAGAAATAGCTAAGAGGGGCTCATGTCTATCTTTGTGTGTTGTTACATGGTAGAGAAACACAGGAGCTTCAATCAATAGAAGGGACTGTGCATAACACACTTCCACATGGAGGAGACGCAGTTCATGCATCATTAAATTTGCACATTTAAAATAATAAAGCAGGAAATGCAGAAGTTATGGCTCTTACAGCAGTGCTATCTTGTCCACGTTATACCTGCTGTACATTTTGTGATATGCACCTAACATAAAAATCATCACGTTATACATTCAGCTATGAAAACAAGAACCAGACTGGCAGCGTTAATGTTGTAGGCACATTACATTTTGCATTTCCTTATTACTGCTTATGTATTAATTATGCACTGTGTGGACATAAGAATTTTTAAATGAAATGTCTATTGGAAAACACACGAGACATGAAATTAAAAGTATATTGATTTTATTGGCCAACTGATACCTATTATTAAATATTTGTATTCTTTTAGTAGTACTGAAATGCCTCAGTTAGGACTGGTAACCAAAATTAGAGGCATGGAAAGACTTCCTTATGAGACACTGAACAGATTGGAACTGTTTAGCTTGAAGACGAGATGAATAAGAGATGATGTTGGTATACAAAATAATGAAAGATCTAAAGAAGGTCAAGTTAGGCATTCTTACTTACCCTCAAAATATAAGACGATGACCTTCAATAAAAATGGAAGGCAATATACTTATACAGTGTGCAAAGAATTATTTCCTCAAAGCAATTTTAATTAGTCTGTAGATCTCATTGCCACAAAATAGCATTGAGGCCAAGAGTTTAGCAGGATACCAAAAAAGAGAGAGAGAAAAAATTCAAGGTTATAAATCCTAATTTCTTAGGGCAAAAGACACTCACAAATTGACAGGAGATAGGAAGAAACTTCCTCAATGAGCATGTTATTCCATAATTGTCCACTGCATGATTTTTCTCACCTGCCTCTACAACATTTGGCTCTGGCCCCCATCAGGGAGAATACCAAACTAGGTGGACCATTGGTTGATCCAGTATAATAAAGTATGTGATGTTCTTAAAGGAGTGGAAATTGGTCTATTGAAAGAGATTAAATTCCAGGAAAATTAATGAATTACTAATTGCAGAAGCATAATGTTATGTGCTGTTATTAGGATTTTAAAAGAATTTCTCAGTAATTGATATTAATGAATGATTACCACAGGAGTCAGTGATCTTCAACACCTGGAAACAGGTATTCATGACTGCTATAAGAAATCATGTGGTATATAAGGAAATAAAAGTGTAGGACTGTAACTTAATGGGGAAGAGAACAAATAACAGATGAGACAGAAAAGTCAATAATGATTAAATATTGACAGCGATAATCAATTTTACCTTCCAGTAAAAAATTACATATTATAAAGCTAAAGATGTCTAAATGTTCCATTTAGTTTTGTTACTGACGGATTGGACTGTTTTTGCAGACCTCTAGAATTTTCTGAAATTATGTCTCTTGTCTGTAGGACCATTGATTCTCTGTACGAGGAATTAGTAGAAGGAGGATTACTAATAAAGCCCAAGACAGTGAAACTCTCTGATTATGTTGGTAATGTATACATTTTTAAATGTCTTACATATCAGAGCTAATATCTTGAATATTATGAGAACACTTCATCCATAGTGAACTCCAGTTACAGTAGTTTGGCTGCTTATACAAGATGGATGAAATAGATTGAATGAAACAGCTGACCAAAAACTCAAGTCAGAATAAATTCAACCCTTTTTTTTTAATTTGAAATGTGGGTCTGTTTTCTGCATTTTTAAACATGTTTGCATGCCACTACTTCATCATTCCTGAATTTGCCAGGTGCCAGAAAGAGAAGTACCAAAATATTGTAAGAAGCTGCTCTCACGTTATTTACAGTCCAGATTTCAGGAAAACCTTTTCCTAGGAGATTTCCAGTTCAAAGATATTTGGACTTTGAGCATCCAAGTGTTTGTATGTTTTATCTAATGAAACATGCAAACCTTCCAAGGTTCACTAATCACCATGACCAGTCAAGTCAAGAATGAAGTGAAGTACAGTTGCAGTTTCAATAAGATTCCGGGACAAACGTCTAAAGTTAAGCACCCAAATCAAAAGAAGCCTGATTTTCAGAGGTGCTCAGTACCCACAATTTGTACTGTTGAAGTGCCTAACTATGGAGGTAAGCACTGGCTTTATGTACCCACGTTTGAAAATTCTGAATTTTAGGCTGTCACCAGTAGCTGTCAGATGTCAGTTACCATTCAAGCAGCTGCGGGCAATATTGGCAAGACAATGGAACCTGAGGGCATAGCGACCTTGTGTTTTATAGTGTGGCCAAAATATTTTCCAGAAAATAAAATAGTCGCCAATATTATACAGCCTCACATACACGGATAGGAAACCTCAAGATAAAGCACCATCGAAAGAACTGAGTGCAGTGGGGCTAGTGTTCAGAGAAGAAATGCAATCTCACAGGTTGCACCGTGGCTTGATACACTCTCTGATTGTTTTGGGCCGTTCCCTAAAACTGAACAAGCTGCAATATATCAGGGGAAGAACCCACTAATTTAAAGGACCACAATTAAAGAGCTTGTCAGTACCTAGCACGTACAGTGCACCTGGCCATTAATATGGTATATATCTAAGCAGGAAAATCTGGAGTCTCTCATATCAGCTGCAAGTGCCATGTTTTTATAAACTGTTAAAAGCAGCATTTATTGCCAACAGAGTCCTTGCCCACTCTAGAGAATGAGCTGGTATTGGTATTCTAGTCACTGCATACTCATTAAAGAGCATAGAGTGCTGAGAGTAGTAATGGAAGCTTTTCATTATTATTGCACTCGCCCAACCACTGCCAGCTGTCCTTCCCAAGGTCGTTTATGGTGGACAGACATTTCAATCACAGACACTTTGAAAGACCATCTTGGCCAACAGGATAGTTAGTGGCTGGTAACATTGTAGAATTTTGGAAAAATCAAAACATCCCCTCACAATTTTAATAAAACACTCAGCACCAAAACCTCAAGCGCACCAACTGGAGAGGTGGGTAGGGGGGCAATGATGGTTTTGAGCCATCTTTGTAATCCCTTGATCCTGAAGCTGTCAGGAGTCAGTTTGGCTCCTGTCATAGTTTAGGGTAGCCTCAGGGCTGCTCTAAGTTACATAAAAGCAGCACTGACCTACTAGGAGCCACTACACTGGGTGGGGGATCACTGTAATACAGAGTGCTCATAGCCAGCACATCCCCACACAGCCCCTACTCTGGGTAGGCAGGGGGGAGGCATAGAGCTGTCAAAGCCAGCCCTGCCCCAGCAGAAGATTCTCTCATGTTCAGGGAATTCTCAGCTTTCCATTTAGGGCAGCTGTAAGTCCCACTTGCACTGCTAGAGTGATGCAAATGGTACTTAGCATTTCCCAGGAGCGAGGCCTAAAATTTTTGGCTTGATATCAAATCAAAAGCAACATTTAAAGTTACAAGGTTAGAGTTATAGCCCATAGAGAAATAAATGAGTGCCCTTCAGCCCTGAGTCCTGAAATCCTAGAAAGGTTGCTCGCTCACTCACGGTTCTGGGGGAGAAGACAAAGGGCAGAAGCCACACAGTGAGTAAAGGTACTGAAACGTCCGTCCCTATGACAAACCGACATTGCTGAACTAATTTTCTTGGTGACCTTATCTAAATTAGTCAGAGAATATCCATCATGATTTATGGCCAGTTGCAATTAAACCCTTTGATGCCTTCTAATTAAATCTCTGAAGATTAATTTCTAGCTAGTTCTTTTGATTTCTCCTTAAATAAAAGATAAAACCTGAAATGAATTTTACCCTCAAAGGGGGAGGGGAAGCTATGCCAGTGCTTGTCCATCTCCTGGCCCAAACTATGACTATCTCTCAACTCTCTCTCATTTTATACCTAATTTTACATCTATCCCAGATAAGCTGGATCTCTTCCTTCCTATTTGTAAGTTATCATCATCAAAATGCAAAATAGTATTAGGTACAGAACATGTTATTTGTGCTAAAGAAATGAATCCTTCTTAAATGTATTTTTCCTGCACTATTAGTGTATGTCTGCACTGGAGCTGGAGGTGAAATTTCCAGCTCGCGGTGTAGTCTTAGCTTCACGAGTACAATCTTGTCTGAAACCCTAGGTATGTACTTGGTGCGGCTAGCCCATCCCATCGCTACACTGCTATTTTTCGCGAGCTAACATGCATCTACTCAAGCTGGAAGTTACCCCTCCAGATCCAGTGTAGACATAGCCTTAATTTTCTTGCTTGTGTCCCATCCTTCTGGATCTTTGTCCCACTATGTCCTATATGTGATTACAGCTCTCTAACGAGATGAGGCAGGACTCTCGTTTTAGACTGCTTCAGTCTGCAGCAGTGCTAAGTTTAAATAAAAAAGGTGAAGTGCAATGCGAAAAACAAACATTGAACTGAACACAGACTGCTGTGCCGAGTGTCCCCACTAACTAAGATGTGGTGGGAATAATGGAGGCAGGCAGCATTCCGGAAAAAAAATTAAGTAACCTTTTTTTCCCTCTTTGAAATCCCTTAGATACATCTTGGTTCATTGGTGATTCCAAAAATATGACATCTCAACTCCCCAAATTCTCTATTGATGTGATTTATGGTGTCAGTAATGATTCTTTTGTGAACCACAAAGTTTCTTTAAAAGGTTATTTAAGACTTATTTCTCTGCTGCATGCCCTCCACAACCTGCTTAGTAGGGAGAGTCAGCACAGGAATGTGTGCTTAACTTCATTTTCCTTCTAGGCCTGTATTCCATGGCAACATTCCCCTACCTGAGTCCCTTTCCCATGGCAGAACTGGGTTTGCTCAGAGCATACAAAATTTGTATTCCATGGTAGTTTTTCATTATTTGAATTATGCATTTTATAACAATACAGTGTCACATTTATTAAGCCCATGCTTCCTCCCTGCAGGCGAGTACAGCTATCTGGGGACTACGCTTCGTCAGGTAGATATAGAGCCAATGCCCTCTCTCACAGATGTCAGACAGCTAATAGCACTGTATGGAATATTGCCATTAGGTAAGAGCACAGCAAAAATTACTAAAGGGCAGAATATGACGGTTTGCTTCCTGCCAGTAACATACATTTTTACTAGCTTTGACAGTGCTTGATTGATTGTAGTCTAAAGCATTTTGCAGTATAATTGTTTTTCAATTAAGTGTTCTGAGTGAAGGCCATATCATTTTAAAAAGCATGCACATGCTATTGTCAGGTATTGCATTTCTTTGCCATCTCTGTTTGCATTTTAACAGTTTGTGAATGGCAGCACATAAAGGAAATCACATGGGAAAGATAATAGCTAAAACAAGCTCCAGTGATTAAAATCAATCAAGTTAAGGGAAGGGCTAAGGTTGCAATTTACCTTTTACAAGCTGGCTAATGTTACTTGGCACCAAACAAGGTGAGCAGTTAAAGAATTAGTCTGAGTAGATTCCAGATAGCTGAAAGAGAGCACTTTTAAATGTCCTTGTAGTTTTAAATGCCAGCCACTATTAATATGAAACAAGACTTGGTTGGGTTTTTTTAAAACATACTGTCTGCCCCAATATTTTTCTCAAGACTGATAGGATGACTGTAGGCCCAGGGGTAGGCAACCTATGGCACACATGCCGAAGGCGGCACGCGAGCCGATTTTCAGTGGCACTCACACTGCCCAGGTCCTGGCCACCGGTCCGGGGGGCTCTGCATTTTAATTTAATTTTAAATGAAGCTTCTTAAACATTTAAAAAACCTTATTTACTTTACATAACAATAGTTTAGTTATATATTATAGACTTTGTAGCAGGGTGGACACCTACTCCTGCCTGGAAGGGCCTGAGATAGCCCAGGGAGCAGGCAACGTGAAGGCTGAGCTGATTGGGGGAAGTGGCTGCAGCTGGGGCCATGCCCCAATCAGGTCTCAGCTGGTCCTATATAAGAGGCTGGGAGCCCTGTGTTCAGGGAGAGAAGGGCCTGGCTGCAGGGAGCTAGACATAGGGTACCTGTAGTGGAGCAGGGGTGGGGAAAGCCCGGGGAGTTCCAGCCTGGAAAGCCCCAGGCTGCGGCCTAGTATTGGGCCCAGGGGTACTGGGGGTTGCAGAGGGCAGCCCAGGGCTAGTCCAAGGCAGCAGGTCCAAACCCCCCTTGCCAATGATGAGTGGCCTATACTGCAGTCTGCCCCAGGTAGTGGGGTCTAGTTGGTGACTGACAGTGGCCTAGTGCTGAGGCAAGGTGGGGATAGCGGGTGGAGGTTCTCCAGGGAGTGGAGACCCAGACCTATGGGGTACTGGGAGGGACACGGGCCAGAAGTGGGGACAAGGCGAATCACCGGCCTGCAGAGGGCGCTCCAGAAGCTGGATGAGCTGATTCCCCAAAGCAACCAGTAGGGGGAGCCGCAGGGGTGAGTCTGGACCTTTACAGACTTATAGAAAGAGACCTTGTTAAAATGTATTACTGGCATGTGAAACCTTCAGTTAGAGTGAATAAATGAAGACTCTGCACACCAAATCTGAAAGGTTGCTGACCCCTGCTGTAGGCCAACCATGGGGAATACAGGCACTTACTACATAAAGGGGCTTTGCATGTGCTATTTATAATTTTCTTTCATAATGTTTTCACTTTTGGGAGACTTCTGTCAGAGGACAGGCAAGTCCTCAGCCAGCCAACTCAGTCCTATGTAGCCTCATTCTGTGCCACTCAGTCCACTTGTTCCACCTCAGGCCAGAATGTCCCTGGCTCTTGTTTTGGTGTTGGGATGGAGGGGAGCAGGGAGCCTTCTCTTCCCCTCCCCTCCCTTGTGTGTGCCTTTAATAAAAACCAGGGACAAATGCAATCCTTGCGCTCAGGCTGCTCTCGCTGTACACACGGGAACACACTGTGCGCATTCCATGGTGCCAGCCCCCTCTGCACGGGCACACAGGGTGGGCCCAGTGCACCAAGGGGAGCAGGCTGCACCATACAGAAGACTCTTCCCATCCTACAACAATGGGAATTTGGAAAGGCGGGAGCGAGAGCTTTCCCTCAAAGGGCTTGTCCTTCCGTAGCAAGTTAGATTGTATTAGTTAACTTGACTCCTCAAGGCTGAGTTCCAACATTACGTTAAATGGAACTTTGCAGTCAACATAGACAGGGACCTTCATTTTAAGACCACGTCAGCTGGTCATTGGTTAACTCTACTAGACCCATAGGTTTAACCAGCTAATACAAAGATAAACATGACATCCCTGTCTACACTGCAAGGTCATGTTGTAACCTAATTTTCTAGGATAATCAAGCCCAAAGACTGCTCCTGCCAAGGTAAGAGGGGCCCATAAACCTCCTCCCATTAATTGGAGAGAAACTGTGGAAGAGGAAAAATACCCTCAACCAGTAAAAGTATAGACTGTATTTGCAATAGCAAATGTATGTTAAATATATTGCCTGAAGCCAAAAAGTCTCAGGAATTATTTCACCTTTGGGTGGTATTTAATGGATGACATTTTACTTAACTGGCCTCAGAACTACCGTAGTTAATCATTGTGTATATAGATATATATAGAGAGAGAGAGAAAAAGCTTTCCCAAAAATATTCACTTGATAGAGAAAATTTCAGCCCAAAAGGAATCAGAAAATTATAAGCAGTTGAAAGGAGACTTTTTAATGGAAGTTACATTTCTCTAAAGGGGTTTCTATTGACCCATTATAATCAATGTAGAATAGTAATAAATTGGTATGAAATGACCAAAAATATTCATATAACTTGAGAGGTTGGTAACTTCACTACATGGTTCATGGTGCTGGAATAAAGGCTTACAATGGCATTCATCTTAATACTTTGTTCACTGTAATTTATTTGGCTACTTTAAGTCATTAACACATTGATGGATGAGTTTGTTTTCACTTTTAATAGCACTGTTAGCTAAACAGTCGCCCCTCCTTCTGTAGTGGTTGTAGGAGTTGGCATTTCTCTTGCTCTCAGTACCTGGAATAGAACTTTTCCAGAACTGGCAAAGCTCCTGCAAAGGGCTCTCACCTTCTGGACTTTTTTCCCCCCTACCAATTAGCTGGCAGACTGAAAGTTTGAAAACCCTCAGCATGTGATGAGAGGCAGAACTGTTCAAGTTACTTTACAGTGGTAATCTCTACATCAAGATAAGGGCATGTTTTTATGTGGCGAGTAAAAGGCACTGATTTTATTGGACCATCAAGGAAGAGGCAATTTATATGTTTGCAGTTAAGTTTACTGTCTACTGTCCAAATTCTATTATGAGGGATGCTGACCATAATATACTAAATATTTTTGTGGCTTTGTCCATGACAGCACAGATGCTGGGTCCTGCCTCCTCACTCAGAGGCATAATGGCAACTACCATTCAGCATTTACCAGCTCTCTACGCCTCCTTTCTCCAATTCCTCCCTCACTAAGAGCAATGAGCAATGCAGGGGATGAACCTCTGTTCCATCGCATCTTGCACCATCTGGCTCTCAACGAGGGAAGAAATCTCACCTGCACCTCTTGCAGCAGCACTTTCTCATTGGAGCATTAAGCACTTTTTCCTTCTCTTGCTGAGGAAATCGCCAATCAGTCAGTGGAGCAAAGCAGTGGCTGAAACAATGTCCAGAAGTGCAGCAGAAAACAGCTGCTCAGCTTGCTTAGAAGGGAGAGAAGCTCACCTCAAGTAGAGATTCTCCTCAAAGAAGTGTCTGGGGTGGCTATCAGCCTTTGACATTGGAATCTGTGAAAGAGTCAGAGGTGCTTGGCCCTTCCTTTTCATGACCTCAGGCCCCCTCTTTTCAGTCAGGCTTCTGTCTCTCCTTCTCCCTCTCTAGAGAGCCACAAAAAAGAACGTGATGTTGCCCCTTCCCTGCTAAATTGCTTTCTGTGGCTCTGTTAGGACAGTGCAGACACCATCCCCATTTGGCTTTCCAAGCCCAGGCTTCAACAATACTCACTGATCCAACTATCAAGGTAGAACAGGCAACCTCATTTCTTTCAGATCAGAAGAGCTTAAAATGGAGAAGCAAAGGAGAGAGCAGTGAAATCTTGGATGGTGATTGGTCATCATCCTCCCTGTCAGAGCAAGTGAAGAGGAGGAACCCAGCATCTGCACTATCGCAACAAAAAAAAGCAGAGAACAGAAAGCAGATTAGCCACTAAATGGGTATATGCCATGCCTCTACGCCTAAATGAAGTAGCAGAGTTCTAGATAGAGCTTAATCTTTCCTTGTTGGAGAATGACATGACTTAACACGCACAGCAATCCCACTCCCCGGTGCTGTCATTGCCCAGCTCAGTCAGCTACATTCCATTCCTACAATCAAGGGATCAGACTCTCCCACACTTACTAAAAGCAGAAATATATAAAGAGAAAAATTTCCAAAAAAAGGGTAGTGAGGGAAGAAAGGGGCAAAAGAGAGACTGATGACATCTGGTTTTAAATTACAGAAGAACGCTCATCAGGAAAATACTCCAATTAGTTTGTTTTCTTATGGAAGTTGGAAAGTGTCATTTTTGGCGCAGATAACAGATTCTACTATTTTAACATTTGACAGGTATTTCCTCCCCTTTCCAATTATGAAGTGGGGAACAGCTCTGAGGTAGAATGTTTGTCTCCTCTTTTAAATTAGACCACAGGTATACCTACAACCATACAGCTGCCTGACAGCCAACAGGCAGTCAGTTAACAGTTAGGGGTAATTGAAGGCAGATGTATGCTGTGCATAGTGTCAGGCTTGTCTTCTGCATGTAACTATGTGTCTCATTTTCATTTCATTTCAATGCCCATATCCAATATTAAGCAAAGTGAAACGGTGGACCTGAGAAGAATTTTGCTGGAAGTCACAATTAAAATAAGTTCAGTACTATTGGTTTTCCTGCCACGAACAAAGGCTAACATATTCTACAGCTGTAAAGTGAATTCTACACCACTTGCTCTACGTTAGTGAGATGAAGAGTTCACATTATGAAATATTTATCAGGAAGAAAAACTGAAGAATCATTCACCATTACATTTATGGCAGACTTAAATGAAAGCAATAATAGTGCCTTATTACTTTTTATAGGTTCTCAAGCAGTACATGAGAAGGCTCCTTTGGTGAAAGCCCTGTTGCTAGCTGGGCCCACAGGAGTAGGAAAGAAAATGCTGGTGCATGCCCTCTGCACAGAAACAGGAGCCAATCTCTTCAACTTGTCTGCCTCTAACATTGCTGGGAAATACCCAGGCAAGAGTGGTCTGCAAATGATGCTCCACATGGTGTTCAAGGTACTGTATTTTTTGACATCTGATTCTCACTAGTCTGTGTGCTTTTTCTTTATTTCTTCTCTTAAAACTCCTGTGGAATCATATCCTACTTTCTTTTAAATAAGTTCCACTTTTCAAATACTGGGCTCAATCCAGGGGCAACTGGGTGAAATTAGATGGCTTGCATTTTATATTAGGTCCAACTAGGAGATCCAGTGGTCCCTTCTGGCCTTAAAATCCATGAATCTATAATAGGTAAGAGTGTATGGTGCCCTTGAAGTGTCCACATTTCATTCCATTTCCCCTTGTGGATGATAAATCACCTTATGCCCATTTTCTCAACTTCAAAGAGTAGATCTTCAACAAGCCAGTTGCTCTGAGTTTAAAATAAAGCCAAGAACCAGAGTCAGAGTACACCAAAAAGGTGGCACAACTGTCCAAGGTCAAAACAAGTCACATCCCAGATTTGAAACTCCCTTATGGCTTTCAAATTTCCTTAAAACAATGTTCTGACAACCAATATGTTCACCACTGTGGAGGATTTAATGCCTCAAGGAAATCACTTGATGTAAGGTTTTTCCATGTCACCACTTGAATGAACTTTGAATTACCTTGAGTATGAAAAGCATTATATAAAACAAAATTTTGTTCTGTGTTTCTGTTTCCTTCAATCAGGAATATTTATTTGAGATGCAACATGGAGTCAAATAATGCTAGCTATTGTTGGGTGTATATTTCTTGCACAGGAGTCACTACAAGTGGCTCTTTGCTACACAGCTGTCTGGTTAGCTGTAGTGGTCATTTTGAAAAGAGGAATTCTAGCTTAGAATTACAGGAACAAAAATGTAAGAATATATGATGGGCTTGGGAATGAAACCATGTATATTAATTATGAACATATCCAGAACCCTTACTTATGGACATAGTCAGGGCCCAATTTCTTCCTTATTCCATGATCTTCACATTTCTGATGAGAGGGTGTAGGCCTACAGTCCCAGGAGGAATCCTTTAAAATTGAGACAAAAAACAAATAAGATCTCCCTTTCTCAGTGACAGAATCCCCAGGAGAGATTATGGATTCAGAATCCTTTTCTCCAGAAAGGAAACTATCATAGAATCCTAAAAGATTAGGATTGGAAGATACCTCAGGAGGTCATCTAGTTCAACCCCCTGCTCAAAGCAGGACCAACCCCAATTAAATCATCCCAGCCAGGAATTTGTCAAGCCAGGCCTAAAAACCATAAAGGATGGAGATTCCACCACCTCCCTAGATAATACATTCCAGTGCTTCACCACCCTCCGAGTGAAATAGTTTTTCCTAATATCCAACCCTCCCCCACTGCAACTTCAGACCATTGCTCCTTGTTTTGTTATCTGCCACCACTGAGAACAGTCTAGATCCATCCTCTTTGGAACTCCCCTTCACTCTTCTCTTCTGCAGACTAAATAAACGCATTTCCCTCAGCCTCTCCTCATAAGTCATGTGCCCCAGACCCCTAATCATTTTTATTGCCCTCCACTGGACTCTCTCCAATTTGCCCACATCCTTTCTGGGGCCCAAAACTGGACTCAATACTCCAGATGTGGCCTCACCAGTGCCGAATAGAGGGGAGTAATCACTTCCCTCGATCTGCTGTCAATGCTCCTACCAATGCAGCCCAATATGCCGTTAGCCTTCTTGGCAACAAGGGCACACTGCTGACTCATATCCAGCTTCTCGTCCACTGTAATCCCCCTGTCCTTTTCTGCAGAACTGCCGCTTAGCCAGTCGGTCCCCAGCCTGTAGCAGTGCATAGGATTCTTCCATCCTCAGTGCAGGACTCTGCACTTGTCCTTGTTGAACCTCATCAGATTTCTTTTAGCCCAATCCTCCAATTTGTCTAGGTCACTCTAGACCCCTATCCCTACCCTCCAGCATATCTACCTCTCCCCTCAGCTTAGTGTCATCCACGAACTTGCTGCAGGTGCAATCATCCCATCATCCAGATCATTAATGAAGATGTTGAACAAAACCAACCCCTGGGGCACTCCACTTGATATCTGCTGCCAATTAGACATCGAGATGTTGATCACTACCCGTTGAACCCGACAATCTTGCCAGTTTTCTATCCACCATATAGTCCATTCATCCAATCCATACTTCTTTAACTTGCTGGCAAGAATACTGTGGGAGATTGTATCAAAAGCTTGGCTGAAGTCAAGGTATATCATGTCCACTGCTCTCCTCATATCCACAGAGCCAATTATATCCTCATAGAAGGCAATCAGGTTGGTCAGGCATGACTTGCCCTTGGTGAATCCATGTTGACTGTTTCTGATCAACTTCCTTGCCTCCAAGTGCTTCAAAATGGATTCCTTGAGGACCTGCTCCATGATTTTTTCAGGGACTGAGGTGAGGCTGTAGTTCCCTGGATTCTCCTTCTT